GGAGCCGGCTCGCTAATGGTGGACGCGTGAGGCGGAGGCGCGAGCGGCAGAGGGAGGCCGGAGCGGGCAGCGCGGCGGCGCCATGTCCGTGAACATGGACGAACTCAAGCACCAGGTCATGATCAACCAGTTCGTGCTGACTGCGGGCTGCGCGGCCGACCAGGCGAAGCAGCTGCTGCAAGCGGCCCATTGGCAGTTCGAGGTGCGCGGCCGCCGGGGCCGGGGGCCGCGGGCGGTGCGTGTACCCGCGTGGCCGCGCGGGGCGAGGGCGGACGGTGTGGACACGTGCCGGCTGTGCGCCTGCCGGGCCGCGAACTCGATCCGCTTCTCGGTGGTCGCGCCCGGCGTCCCAGCCCTGCGGGTTCGCGGCGGGTGGCGGTCAGGCCTGGGCTGCGGGCCCGGAAACGCCGCGGGCCCCCGAGTGCCCAAGGGTCGGGACGAGACTGCTCCCCGCTTTTGTCCGGGTAACGGCCGAGGGCGGGGCGGCCCCACGGACTGACAGTCGGCCGGCCAGCCGGAAGGATCCCGCCCCGGGCCTCTGCGGAGCTGGGCCCGTGGGCGGAGCCGCGCGAGCGTGTGATCCGAGGGTCCGTGTGCCCGGTGGGCGGCCGACGGCGAGTGCGAACACGACATAGGCGATTGTATTTACGCACGCACCGCGCACGGCGTCGGCGGGGCACACGAAGCTGGTGTACGCGTGGGCATGGTGCGTGTGTGAACGCGCAGTCCACCCGGTGTCTGGTGTGCGGTCAGCGTGTACACATGTGGCGGTTTTGCAGACGGCGCCCATACCCACAACGGTGTGGCGTGTGTAACACAGCGTGGAGTGTGCAGGCGGTGTGTTGGAACCGCGCTCCAACGTGGGGATGTGCATCTGTGTAACCCCGCTCCAGATGTGTGCCTGGTGTTGGCCTGGGTTCTCTCTTCGGGGCTGACAGGGAAATATGTTTCTGGGCAGGTGCGGGGGGCGGGGTGGGGGAATGTACACGGTTCATTAGCTTTCAGGCTAGATGGGTGGGAGGTAGGGCCGCCCTAGCCTGGTACCCATTCCCCCAGGCCGTCGCTGACCTATACGGGAGTAGCGACCCGGTTTCTCCTGCTGAGAGGCTACCTGGCCTTCCCTACCTTATAAACCCCAGTATTAATATCTGGGCATGAGGGCAGAGCTTCTTGTGCCCCTCACTGGTGTAGGGTCACAGCCTCAGCTGGTCTGGTAGTATCTGTCCCTAGCGGGGGCCTAGGAACCTGGTTTCCCAAGGGGAAACCATCCCAGGGAAGGTGTTTGGACCTGCAATAGGGACCAGGAGCCAGAGGACTCTGGGGCTCAGCTTCCTGGGAACAGGATGAAAATCTGAATGTCTCAGGCTTGGGACAGGCTGAGAAGGGAGTGGCCATTCCACCCAGATGAATCCATCCTTCTCCCCTTTTGCACCTCCTTCCTGCCAGAGAGGCTGCTGACGCTGTTTGGTCTTCACCATAGGAGATAGGAGGCTGTGCTGTCCCTCTGGCCTCGGTTTCCACGTCTGGGGGGGGGGGGGG